GAAGAACATCTTTCTTTACTGCAAAATTGCAAACACTAACTTAACAGTCCTGCTATTATCAGAAGCTGAACTCACTATCACCCAAACCTTAGCATATTATTCTCTAAGGAAAATGTGGCAGTTTTAAATCCAAGCTGCTAGAGAGCTGCTCTCCCCTCACCACCACCACCTTTCTCCAGCCTCATATGTCTATACATAATTTTCCAACGTTTTTATTAACTTAAAGACTTTGGAGTGTTGCTGAGTTAAATAATAAACATCTAAATATTTTAAGATAGCATACAATACTGAAACATTGATTGCTAGACACGTTTTAACTTGCCTGCTCTTAGTTTTTTTAAAATATATTTTTATTGATTTCAGAGAGGAAGGGAGAGGGAGAGAGAGAAACATCAATGATGAGAGAATCATTGACTGGCTGCCTCCTGCCCACACCCCCAACTGGGGATCGAGCCCGCAGCCCAGGCATGTGCCCCTGACCAGAATCGAACCCGGACCCTTCAGTCTGTAGGCCAAGGCTCCATCCACTGAGTCACACTGGCCAGGGCTGCTCTTAGATTTTATTACAGAGGTTTCTTGTACGTTGTTGAATGTATATTTTCTTGAAAGTAAGAGTGTGTTTAAAGTGTGTTCATAGGATTCTTCCTTATCCCAGAGTTTGGTGATTGTGATTTCGGCGATGAGCTCCCAGAGAGGGAACATGGCGTGTTCCAGGCCTCAGAGACATCAAAATACATTTAGCTTCAAAAATGACAAGTTTGATAAGAGTGTTCAGACCAAGAAAATTAATACAAAACTTCTGATGGAGTATGTCAGCGCTGCAAAGAAGTTCTTAAATGGTGTGTAAAATACAGCAAATACAAACAACTGTCAAAGCCTAAAACTGTGTTAAATGTTTACAAACGACAGTGAAAGATTCTTTTCACAATTTGTAGAGACCATGTGCCTGTGAACTTGAAGTTTTTGCAAAATGTGGGAAGAAAGAAGACATTGTTACTCCGTTTAATAAAGAACCAGAAAAGACAAGAAAACATTTAAAATAATCTGCATTCCAATTATAGAAGAAGCTGCAGAAGAAATAAAGAAGGAAGTGATGATTTAGATTTTGATATTGGTTTAGATGACAATCAAATAGGTTAACATATTAAAAGTCAGTGTGAAAACATAAAATTCTGAACAACTTTAGACTTTGAGAGTTATACAGAAAAATACTGTGAAATCCTAATAAGAATTTAGAATAACAATAACATTTATACATGAACAATATAAATTGTGTATGGTATTTGAACAATTATAAAACTTATGCAGTTTTCTTATAATAAATTTCCAAGTAGCATGTGCTAGAAGATCTGCCAAATGAGCATTTTAGAATATCAAAGTGAACAAGATTCAGAATTGATGGTTTTGTAAGAACTATCTCATGGGAAAAGTCATATGACATTACTGCTAGACTCAAAAACTGGTCCTCGGGTATGTACATTTTGATAAATTTATCTCAAGTAAATGACCCATAAACAGAAGCCCCCTTAACTTAATGTTTGGTTGCTTTATAAAGCAAAAAGTTATTTTTTAATAATAATATTTAACAAATATGTAGCAGTTTTTAAAAATATATCATCGCACTTTTAACCTTTTTTCTTTTATAAAATATACATATAAAAATGCATAAAACATATGTATAGTTTAGTAAATACTTATAAAGAAAACTCATACATCCCAGATGAAGAACTACTCCTAAACAATATAAATTAGCTTTATCTGATATTTGAACTTTTTTCTTTTTATTTATTATTTTTTTTAAATAACTTTTATTGATTTCAGAGAGGAAATGAAAGAGATAGAAACATCAATGATGAGAGAGAACCAATGATTGGCTGCCTCCCACATGCCCCACAGCACAGGTTGGCATGTGCCCTGAC